GGGGGGGGGATTTCCTTTCTGGTTCGTTTTTTTTAGCTGTTCAGCAATATAAATTTGAAACCTCTTGAGTAGAAATGTGTAATTTATATTAGTCTTATTCCATTGCTTGTTTTCTTTTTAGAACTACAGTGTTCTAATTACTTGCCTGTGTTATTGGCAGAGAGAGTGTACACGTGTGAGAGAGAACTTGCAGACTACTGCATAAATTTAAGAGAAAACGCAAATGTGCTCCTGAGCGATGTTCTCCGTTCATCTGCCATGCTAAGGAGCCTTTCACGTTTGCCTGTTGCGCACTCTCGATGCCACGTTATGTTGATGCATTGAGGTATTTGCAGAGAGGAAGTTCAGCAAGAAGCATTTCTTGAGAAATTGGAGCCTAGAGAGAGAGTGCTGCTGTTGTAGGAGAAAGACCATAGAAACAGTAGAGTCCGTAGAATTGACTACAGACACCAAACCACGGTGTTTATTATATTTACATGTTGCATTATCAGTGGTTCTCAACCTGTGGGTCAGGACCCCATTTGGGGTCGATCGACCATTTCATGGGGGTCACCAAGCAAGGCTGTCAGCCATTTTTTTTTGTCCGCCATTTTTTTTCCCTTTTCCGGCGGGTGCCTTACCTCCCTTGGGCTGGGCCAGCTGGTGGTCGGCCTGCTCCGTCTCTGCCGCTTGCCAGCTACACCTCGGCCGGCGCAGGGGGCGGAACCACGCATGCGCGGCGCTCCCGGGCAGGGAAAGTCCTCGACTTACGACCAGTTGGGTAGTCCTCGATCTACGACCGGTTTAGTCCTCAACTTACGACCGGTTTAGTCCTTGACTTACGACCGGTTTAGTCCTTGACTTACGACCGGTTGGGGTCACGGCATTAAAAAGGTTGAGAACCACTGGCCTAGAGAGATAGTGCTGCTGTTGTAGGAGAAAGACCATAGAAACAGTAGAGTCTGTAGAATTGACTACAGACACCAAATCACGGTGTTTATTATATTTACATGTTGCATTATATTATACATATATCATATTTACGTGTCAATTCAGCAGCTCAAGACAGCGTATTTGGCACTCCCTTCTCTTGTTTTCCCTCAAGTAGCCCGTTGAATGGGTTGGGCTGAGAGATGTTGTGACTGGTCCAAAATCTCCCAATGAGCTCGAAGGTGAACTAGAACTGAGTTTCTATGATCCTAGTCCAGCTTTTCCCCCGTACATCACGGGATCCATGTCATCATTGAAACTACTGCTATGCTGTGAGTGTATGAGATGGATATGTGTGTGTGCATGTGTACGCACTTCTTTTTAAGGAATAGCAACCTTCCGCTGCCTTGCTGAGTTAATTCCCCAAAAGAAATTAGGAGAATTA